GCATGGGCATACGAGGATAGTCTGGAAAGTTTTGAATCTCAACATGAAGGTGGCGTTACTCGTCAAAACCATTCCGGTAATACAATCATACATGCTTTGAAAGACCTGTAAAAATTTCAGCCATTTTGGACGCTCAGTTGTTTGACAGTCGTTTGTATCAGTCGATGTCAATGTTTTTTTGTAAAAATGGAAAAAATCGGATTAAATTCAGCTGCCCATTTTTTCACGGTGGCAAATGATGGAGCAGTCTTCGTAAACAGTGTAAACAACTTAACATTAATTTGCGCAAGCGTATTGCCTTTCAAATGCAAGAATTTAATTACGGCACGATATTCGATTTTTTCAATTTTTATAAAAATACTGACACAAACGACTATCAAACAACAACTGAGCGCCCAAAATGGCTGAAATTTTCACAGGTATCTTTCAAAGCATATACGATTGTAGTACCAGAATGGGTTTTACGAGTAAAGCCATCTCCAAGCGATTGTGATTGCACTATGGAGACACATTATTATTAAATATGTTAATGTTAAGTTAAATATAATTAATAAGTCCAATAGCTTAGCACATATTTTGCTATATCTTCGAATGCCGCAAATGTAACTAATATCTTGTTTATTTGAAATAGAAACTTATTTACGCATTCCGCATTTTACGCAGTTGCATCGCACATTATCTAAAGCTTTTGCAATGGCCATAAATCACAAAGCTACATGCAATAAGAAATTCCTTTTGATTCCTGATACCAGAAACAGCTGAGATATCGCAAATAGGCACTTCTAACGATAATAATCTATTCCGGACACATTTAGATAAAGATAACAAAAACTCGGACAAATCCTCGATCGACAATCGTCGTTGAGAATTGCATCTGCAATTTTTGCCATGTTTAACGTGGCGAATGAGATTGCATTTGTTATTGTTCATAATTACTTTAGATTCTTACAATAGTGTGTAAAGAAAAACTCGTGATAAAATCCAATTATCGTACAAGACTATCAATTGACTTATCGCTATCGACACAAGAACGTATTAACATCGAATGCACATTTTCCGAATTCCATCAATTTCCATGTTAGAATGCTAAACAAATCATACTATACTAAAATTAATAACATAATGTTTAATTTTGAGCTTGTGATATAGAGTAGTATATATCGCTATTTCGAGAATCGTCGTAGACATTTTCATAATAATTGTGATAACATCGACTAACATTTTTTTTTTAGACGAACACAAACTTTTCCGCAAGAATTTTTCCTGTTTTCAAAACCTTTCAACCGTACACTACACACACCTCTGTATACGATAATTATCAACCAAGCTACGCGCGTCAATAGTTTTCGCAAGACACGCAAGAAGGAATTGCGGCATTTCTACGACGAGTTTTTGCTCAGAGACTCATGAAAGACCTGCGATATTTTCGCGACTGTTTTTCATCGTTCAAAACGAACGTGTGAAAAAATCACATCTTAGATGCGGCTTCTGACTTACAGTTTTCCCGTTCGCGGTTTACTATGAGGGAAATGAAGCACAAGAATGAACTCTTGTACAACGGATGAATAGATGCATCGATCACGATATAATACAAATAATACTCGGACTCTGCAGTTGTTTAATAATTTTATAATTAGAAAATGTTTGTGTGTGAGGAAATCACTTTGGGTAGACACCCAACATAGGATTATTTCCCGGTATGCATCAATCATCTGTGACTGGAGAAAACAGGCATGACAAAAGCATTGATAAGCAGCTGAATTTTTGAATATATCCGATCGATTGATTAATAAACTGTTTATCAAAGTATGCAGATATTGTATACAGATAAATACAGGAGAGAGATAAATGAGAGGAGGGGGGGAGGGGGAGTATATTGCCTTACTTTTACTTCACATAAGTAAGTAATATGATACTGCATACAAACATGCACGATGTATTCTCTCCGTCAAAATAGCAGCTAAAGAGATTTCGAAAAAGTTACTGCTAAAAAGTGGTACACATATCCTACGGTATTTACTGCCGTAAAAATGTCAACAAGGAAAATTCGAGAAATGAACGAGGAAGAAATAGCAATCGACGCTTCAGCAAGTAATGAATAATAGTTTGTCGATCGCGATGTATTGTTATTTGAATAAAAGTTGGGCACATTGATACATGAACATACTTGTTCTATTTGTTCTAGTTGTATATAGTTGTTCTATTTGGTTGGTACGAAATTTCTTAAGATAGTTATATCATGAATCGAGTCTCGTAAAAATTCAATGAAACTTACATTACATGCGGCATATATGCTATATAATTCCCTAGATTGTAATCTTTCACAATTTTCAATAGTCTTTCATATGTATACATAAGAAATTATGTATATATATTATAACTCTATAAAGCTATTGTAATTCTATCGTTATAACTAGAGTTACTTCTGTGATTTTCAACCTTATGTATTACATGTAACGTTAAAAATCGTGTAACTCTCCAAGTAAAAATTTCTCATATATAATCATATATAAGATGTCATGTATAATTATATATAGAATATGTCTATATAATATTTTTTCCAAGAAAATGTACGGCCTTGATTCAAGACGATTGACGATAACGTCATTTATGTTGTATGACGATAAAAAGAAGCGTGCCCATTTACATAATATATGCTTTATTGTCATTCCGAACGTTTTGTTAGAGTGGAAATTTTCCAACTAAAAGCAAAGTATCTCTAAGTGTTATGAGGTTTTATGATACGTTAAACGTTATGAGTGTTTTTAGTTATGCATGCAAAAGGATCAAAATTAATGTATGCTCAGGTTTCAAGATGGCATAGAAAATCAAAGTTATTCGTTCAGAAGTGGATAGAATAGTGCAAAGAAGATGTAGGGAATGTTGACGATTTGTCCGAAAAGAGTATCGACGAAAGAGAGGACAAAACGATTATTCTGTTTGAATGTCTGTTTGAATGAAATGTCTGTTTGAATGAAATCCTACACTGACATTGCGCCAAGCTCCGGATCAACTTTATGAAAAGCATATAAACATTAAAATAAACATCACTAGATTATTTACATGAATCAAAGGTAAAATATCGTTTCCAATAATCCAAAAACTCCTTCTCATACAAAAAATACATCACAAAACTGGTAAGGGCTCATGAAAATTTGAATAAAGATTGGGACAATGTAATCTTTATGGATGAAATTTCTTTTTGGACATGGTTAGCTACCATGAAACGCATCGTTGAACGCAAAACACGTACTAAAACGTACGTGACCGCAACGCATGCGGCAACCACACCCGTGGAATAGAAAACATCTGACCGAAAGTTCTTTCTTTAAAACGGGTAGAAAAACTAACGTAGAATGAATATATGTTGAGTGAATTTTATATATACTTTTTTAAAGATAGAGAAGGTAGCCAGATGCACGCGTTTTGCTGTTGTTTTGTGTTCGCAAAAAATTCAAAGAAAATGTCAGACTAAAAAATTTTATTAAAAAAATTATTATTGAAACAATCTTATTCAGAACAATTGTATTCATGAATATTTCGCTAAAAAATATAAAAACTTTAAAATAATTGTACTCCCTAAACAAATTGTTACTAAGAGAAACTGTTATTACAAAAAATATATATAGAATATAATATTAAATATAATGTATAATATTAAGAAATATAAAAGGAACAACCCAACAAAACTGTACCAAAAATATTATTTGAAAAAATCTCTCTTATTCATACAATAATTGTGTCCGCGAATACTTTATATCGTTTTACGTGTAACAGTTGTCTTATTTATAAAAAATACAAATGAAAGAACTTGGAAAAATTGTTACTGAAAGATATTATTCAGAATATTGTAGCGAAAAAATTATTATATTAAATATTCATTCTGAGCTATAACAATTTAATCTTATACTTTCTATAAAAGAGATAATGAGATATAAAGAAGTTTACGCCAAGTATGAATGATTAATCATTAACATTTCAGTTTTCAATTTTTTATTAACACAAATTGTTTTGGCCATATAAAAATTTATAGGTAAATGTTGAGAAAAGGGTTGTATAAAACTACTTGTCGGAGAAGCTTTCATATAAAAATCTAATCTTTCTACAAACATAATATTATCAAGAAGTTTATATAGCAAATTTGCCTTATTATTATTAGTTTACATAAATAAAAAATAAATAAATAAAAAATAACTGCCGAAATAGGGAACCTACTTCCAATGACCTTGACGTTGACATATATATATATATATATATGGTAGAGATCATCCTCCTTCGGAGTAACCTTCCGAAGATTTTACTTGTTGCTCACAGGTTCATTACAAAGATATTAACAAAAGAAATTCACAGTTTACAATCGACAAAATTACGTTACACGCATCCATTCACATCGACCGGTGCATTAACGGAAATTATATATTGACACAAGGGTTAATAATTATTAAATATTTCCATTTACGTGCTACGTCCGTTATTAAACTTAATGTCAAAGTTCAATTAGGATGCAGTGAAAGTAAAGTCATGCAGAAACCTTCCTCGCGTTTTAAATCCAGAAACGATTTATGTGGATAAAGGAGTCGCAACGATAACGGTTAAAACAATAACGTGAAATTAAAAACAACAAAGTTTAAAGAGCCTACAGCCAATAAATATGCTCTAATACGATCCAAATCTAACAAAAGTAATTAGTAAACAAGTAAACTTTGTAAACAAGTAAATTAAAGCTCTTTAGAGCTTATATACTTCCAAGATTGTTCGTCATGTGAATCACTGTATATTACAACTTAATTAAAATATTTTGAATTGAAATATTCGCGACATTTTTCCATCATTGTTTTCGAATGTTACACTAAAAAACGTACACAGTAATTATTGTCTATGTGCATTAAAAAACGAATCGCACAGCTATTATAGTTAAATTTCTTAAATGAATATTAATAGATAGCATAAGATTCAGGAATGTTGAATTATTAATGCAATTTGCAAAATTATGGTTACAGGCAACCGAGTACCGCAACGATGGGTGTTCGCTATTATGGGAGTTTTAGCTGTCTTGAATGCGTATAGCATGAGAGTTTGTCTCTCGATCGCAATTACGGAAATGACCATACCACATAATAAAACTAGTAACACAGATGATAACACCTGTCCGATATTACCGGACGACACTGGTCGAGATGAAGAAAAAATAATTAATTCAAAGCGGTACGACTGGGACGTAGACACAACGGTACGTAAAATATGTTTTATTTAAAATTTATTAAGTCCTTGAAATAACATTCATTATGATACAAGAAGATTCAAGTTATACATTCATGTCTCCAGTGCTTCTTAAAGAAATCCGAGATTAAGAATGGGGTAATAATAATTAGTATTTTAATATGTTAGAAGATTAGAAAAACAAGTTCAAAGATTTTTATTTATTTTTAAAATCATCATCAGACACGTAGTAAAGTTTTTCCCTAAAAATAAGACGTTGGCCATTGCTTGTATATTATTTTTGTGGCTATTTATACAGGGTGTCTTATCACCCCAATTATTTCAGTTACTTTTCATTTTGGAAGCATATTTTTAAACCAAATTATTTATTTTCAAGATAAACATCAAATTATAACTTTATTTTGACTATCTCTGACTACTTCATTGAATTTGCTTTACCTTAAAGTCTTTAAATAAAATAATATAGAATAATTAAATATATTTATACTTTTATCGTTTCTATTAAAATTGTTCTCTCGTGCAAGCAGGGCACCATTCTCTCGTCCTTTTACTGGGGCTACATCATCACGCATCTACCAGGCGGAATACTGGCCGAAAAGTTTGGCGGCAAATACTCGCTCGGTCTTGGAATACTGTCAACTGCAATATTCACACTACTGACACCGATAGCGGTTGAATGGGGCGAGACGACTGCTTTGATCGTTCTGCGCATTCTTATGGGTCTAGGCGAGGGTACGACCTTCCCGGCATTGAACGCCATGCTAGCACAGTGGACGCCGCCAGAGGAGAGGTCGTTAATCGGCTCGCTGGTGTTTGCCGGCGCTCTGCTTGGCACGGTATTCGGCACCTTGGTGTCCGGTTATATCCTTCATTACTACTCCTGGCCGGCTGTATTCTATGTATTCGGTGTATTAGGTGTGCTCTGGTTCATCGTGTGGGTTTTGACGTGCTACAACAATCCGTACGAACACCCCTTTATCTCTAAACAGGAAGTAAAGTACTTGCACGAACGTATGAGTAAGCACACCCATAAGAAACCACCACCAGTACCCTGGCGGCACATATTGAAGTCAGTGCCACTTTGGGCACTGGTCGCCGCCCAAGTTGGTCACGACTGGGGCTTTTTCACCATGGTAAACGACTTGCCCACATATATGAGCAGCGTGCTCCATTATTCTATCAGGAACAACGGCCTGTACTCGTCGTTACCATATCTCACAATGTGGCTCAGCAGTTTGCTAACATCCTGGTTAGCCGACTGGATAATTACCAAAGATGTCATGTCGCGCACTAATGTACGAAAGCTTGGCACGACAATTGCTTCCTTAGGTCCAGGTGCCTTTATCATTGCTGCCTCGTACAGTAAGTGTGACAGAACATTAGTCGTCATCATGTTCACCATCGGCATGACTTTAATGGGTATGTATAAGAAAGACCACCTCCGTTCCTTACGAAAAATCATCATCTCTTTTTATAATTTGACCGCAGGCACTTTTTATCCGGGAATGAAAGTCAATGGATTGGATCTTAGTCCTAATTACTCCGGCTCCTTAATGGCAATGGTCAATGGAATTGGCGCCATTAGCGGTATCATAACGCCAAAAATTGTCTCTACGCTTACTCCCAACGAAACTCTGAGCCAATGGCAACTTGTCTTTTGGATCGTCTTCGGTGTCTTCGTCGTGACGAATCTGATCTTCATTCTGTTCGCCAGTGGCGAGGTTCAGGACTGGAATGACCCCGAGTTCGTTATACGAGACCGGGAAAAACGATGGGGCAAAGCGGAAAGTGAGAAATCAAATCAAACCGTGACATAACGATCTTTCGTCGTTATTTTTTTATATATTTTAATAATTGCAGCTTGTATATGTTATATCGATCATCATAGCAATCTTACATCTAATGCATTTGTTATTTTTTCGACCATCAAACGAAGTGCGATAATAATCGACACATGGTATTATTACAAGCAAATTTTTACGAGCATTAGTACTCCATGTACATATTCGCGAAACTTACAAGTGCACCTGGCGCTTCCAAAGAAATAACGACTGCGCGGACTATTTATAATGTTTTTTGTAAATATTATGTGTATTATACAAATTACTATTAAGTGTTTACTTAATTGTTGCGCCAATATACCATTATCATTATCGTGAACAAAATAAAAATGGAATAGAATACTCGATTTCTGTGTTACTTAAGAATTTTATTATATTGAGAAAAAATAGAGTATAACCTGAAAAAAATATTTAACTTTTAGAAATTATTTTTTTATGCTCGCAAGATAATTATTTATTTAAATCTTGTTATAGAAATATGTTCAAACTGAAAAAGACAATGTAAAAGAAAAAATAAACTTTTTTAAATAAAAGATTATTAATTTATTCTAAAACATCTGCTTATTTCAAAATTTCGATATTTATATTTTGAAAATTATAAATTCTAATGTAAAAAATATTTTTTTCAAATAAAAAATAGGAAAGGAGGCTAGAGCTGTGGTAGACTTTCTTCTAATATTTTTTTACGAAGAATTTTTAAGTGGAATTCACATCGTAATAGAATTTTTCAATAGGTTCAATCTCGGCTT